AAACCTGAGATACTAGATTTCCAAGGTTTTTAAAGAGTTTTTAAAGAGATCCAAGAATCAAAGCAGATGAAGTTTCATCTTCAAATTAACTGATATGCTTTGTCTTAGGGTGATGTTTCAATATCCGATTCGGTCACCAGATATTAATTCTCCTTTGGATATGAAACAAGTATTTAAAAACTGACTAGAGTGTGCGTTATTTTTAAAGCTAGGGACCCTAGTAAAATCGAAAATTACCGAGCTATATCTATATTTGATAATTTTGGTAAAGCGTTTGAGATATCTGTACACAACTACATCTATCCTTTGACCTCGCATCTGATATCTGAGACGCAACATGGACTTATGCGCAATCGCTCTACTATTTCTAGCTTAACTGAAATCACCCAGGAAATTGCAGAGGTCTTAGATAATAGAGGTCAGATGGATGTAGTCTATACGGATTTCTCAAAGGCCTTCGATAAGATTAGTCACCAAAGAATCATAGGTAAACTTCGGCATTTTGGTTTGAGCAACCATTTATTAGATTTCATTTCTTCTTACTGGCATGATAGAAATCAGTACGTTTCTTACAACGGTTTCAAATCTTCACCTTACTCGGCCTCATCCGGTGTACCGCAGGGATCAAATTTAGGCCCTCTTCTCTTTCTTTATTTTATCTATGACCTCCCCTGCATAACCTGTCATTCTCTGTTGTTTGCCGATGATTTAAAAATATATGCTCAGATTAACAGCATTGATGACTGTCTAATCTTGCAAGCTGATCTAAATCATATACGAGTATTTGAATGGTGTTCAACTAATAAATTATTTTTGAATGTTAGCAAATTCAAAACCTGTTCCTTTACTAGGAAAACAAATCCAATAGTTTTTGATTACACACTGGAAGGTGTCAGTTTGGTGCGTTGTTCAGAACTAAGTTAGAATTTACAGGTCATACGAGTCTTAGTACAGTAGGTAGTATCATCCGCTATAAAAAGCCTCGCTTTTTTCATAAGAAACTGTAAATCGTTTGGTAGTGAAATGGCACTGAGGGTTTTATACTACACTTTGGTGCGTTCTAAGCTGGAATATGCATCTTCTCTATGGCATCCATATTACCAAATCTATACTAATGAAATTGAAAGTGTACAGAGGAGATCTCTTAAATACTTGATTTTCAAATTAGATGGTGTTTATCCCAATCGTGGGACTCCCCAATTAGCGATGTTGCTCAGATTTGAAATGCATCCTCTTGAGCTGAAAAGAGTTCGTAATAGTTTTAAATTCCTTTACAAACTCGTACACAGTGATGTTGATTCTTCAGCTTTATTAGCTAAAATTGATTTTCATGTACCGTCACGCATTTCCCGAAGATTTCTCGCTTTTTACTCAAAAACACCAAATTCTAATGTTATGACTAAGTCACCCGTGTACTTTATGTGCACCAGCTTTAACACCATAGCTGATAATTGAGACATTCATCATGATAAAGTCAAAGATATATTAGCTGTATTCAGCGACTACTATTATTCAATTTATAGCATTTAAGACATGTAGGTGAGTAGCTATTATTTTTTTTCTTTCTTTTCTTTCTCATAAACTGGGCGAGCTATGATTGTAGTTAAAAATACTGTAACGTCAAGTTGTATTCAATTACATTGTAATTTAAGTGGATATATCTGTTGGGCAATAAATATATTACTATTATTATTATTTGACGCAGGAAAAAACTTTTCGTAACGCAGACTAGGCCTAGAATACAGCCTGAGCGGAAGAGGACAATCCGACTGATCAATCAGATATTAGCTAGAGACCTCAATCTTTTCCACATCAAAGATGTGCGAAGGGAGATCTATGCATTTTCTAGGCGATATGCTAACAAATTTGTCACTCTAAACAGTCCTCCATACTGTCTTCTACACGGACCGCCAAGAATCTGCTTATAACTTTTACGACCATTTGTCCATTTTAATCTACAAACTCTACTAGCTTTTTTGTATAGTGTATGTGGCCTCCGTTGATCAATTTTTTGCTTTATTCCTTCAAAAGTCCAAATTCTGTCTAGGGTTGTTTACTGTCCTCTGTCTATTGTCTCCAAAACTGCCTTTACATACTACTGATACAGTTTGTGCCCTGTTACTCCTAAATTAAAGCAGCTTTGCAGTGCAGTTCTGTTTAGAATCCTGTTCGATCCAAATCGTGACCCTTCTCTTCAAATAACATTTCTGTTTTCCGAACGCAAGTTCATCTCCCAATCTACATCGAGGATCTGCGCTGCTGGAGTTATACATTCACCTCCCTACTAGCATTAATAATGGGAGAAGTTGGTGGCCGATACCGATAGAGCAACAGTCGGTCTGTGCTGTCACGTAATTCTGCCTGCTAGAGTCCCTGGGGACCATTAAGTTAACCACTTATAATAGTCCGAAGCTTTTCCGATAGATAGAAGACGCATACTCGTATTCACGCTAGCGCATGACTTGCCTATGGAAACCTCTTCTCTATTAGTTCGATGAGCTATAGGGTCAACGTATGAACGGTCTCTTGAATAGGTTCAGATAAATGAGATTATCTACAAGGTGAGACCGAAGGGTGGGAAACTATTTCACCATACACTCAATAAGTGTAGATACAGAGCGGGCCAGTGTAAGGATCACACCCCTTTTTGTATATCTCCAGGTACATTTTGGGAAAAATGCTCAGGCAAGTCAATTTTGATTTCTTGGGGACGTCTTTTCATCTACAACCGTACAATACAGGGTGATCCAAAAATAAGATATTGCGGTATATTCTTAATAGTCTAATTAAACGGTAGTTTGAAGTGGAAAGTTTTGGTGTAATTGTTTTCATTAGTTTATTCTATGTTTTTTGGGGTGCTGAACACGAATCTGAAGTTGTCCAACAAAAATTTGCTCGGCAAATATGAGAAATCATCAAAAAACTACCAAAAATCATGCTTTTAGTGGTTTTTAACTTATAACATGCAAAGCAAGCTATTTACTCAAAAAACGGTTATTTAGTAAAATAAAGAGGAGAAAATTTCCTACAGTTTATGTTGCATAACATTTTTTCGTACGTCGTACGGTTTCCACGCAAAAGAGTGCTGAAATATGGGAGAAATCAGTAATTTTTGGAAAAAAGAAAAAATGTTGGAACTATTTCTACTGTTCCGTCAGATTGTGCGTGTCGGTACTCGTTATTTTGCGGTTGAGTTTTGAGAATACCAAAATTGCAGGCTGATATAAATCATACAAGGTGTTTGAGAAATACCTACTGGATAGTGAAACGAGTTGTTGGGGTAGGCCTAACCCGTATTTAATTTCTCTTTGTCGATAGGGCAACAGACGGTCTATGCTCTTAAGTAATTCTGCCTGCTGGACTCCCTAGGGACCATTAAGTTAACTACTTATAATAGCCCGGAGCTTCGCCGATAGATAGACGACACATCTTCGATTATGAATACGGCTTCTCTATTAGTTCAATGACCTTGAACAGCTTAAACAAGGGTAAGCAGGAAAATGGTTCATCATGCGTACAGGGTGATTCATAAGTCGTGAAATGAAACATCATACAGAGGACCGCATTTTAAAGGGGGTCTTTTATGTAACATTGGTTCTTCGAGGCCTTCATTAAAAAGAAAGAAACGGGGTATTGAAGTTTAAAAATAAAAAACAATTTTTTTAATATCTTCAAAACCGTCAACTGGAATGACCTAAAATTTGGTTTTTGGATTTACCTAAATATTGTCCACATTCAAAAGTCTTTACTCAGAATTTACGCGCACCAGTGACGGATATACAGGGGATTGGTGGCATTACTTTTCCAAATAAAAACAGTACGCCACCGTTTTTTTTTTCGAAACGCGCAATTTTTTGAATTTTCCCTTCAACTGGCGACAAATAATTACTCTTGTGTTTTTTCTTAGAGTTCAATGAAATAACAAGTAACAACTGGTGGGTCTCTGGAGCTAAGGGGACACAAACTCACAAAGAACACCGACATTAGGCAGCAGCGGTGGCCGCAGTAGTAGACTCTTCGGTCTTCTGATTAGTCACCGTGCGCTGTGCGGCTTCAAATCCCGTACCAGCAGAAACCTTTCTCTTGGCTATGGATGTTGTGATTGTCCGTAGGTAGTAGATGGTCTCTGACTGTCGAACGCGGAGGTACCACCCGGCGGATCTCGTAGGCGGAGCCAGAATGTGTGCATGTTGCATGCACACGTGTTCCCTCGCCAGAGTCCGTGTGGCGTTCCCCCTTTCCCCTGTAGCCCCCTATAGCCCCACGGTACCCAATGGGTGTTCAGGCCTTAGGCCTTTGTGGTAGTTGGAGTATAAAAAAAAATTATTGAACAAAAAAAAATAAAAAAAACTTGAAGAGAAGTCCTGGAGGACAGTATAAAGAGAATTAATTTGTATTAAGATTAAAATAAATAAAGAAAAACCACCTGTGCAGGTGCTTGGCTCTTACCGGTAGGCAACCGAGAGCAGGAAGGAAGGAGCGAAGGTGAAACCCGAAGGTAGAACCCAAAGATAGAACCCTCGAACAATGAGGGTTCACAGTTCCTATTTAAATTCGCCTCGGATTATCCCTGCAGACGGATCCCCTCTGCTCGATGGTTGAGTGTAGTTGTGTCCACCGCTAAATCCCCAAGAGAGTAAGAAAAAGAATCCGACAAAATAAAACCAACAGATAAAGATTTCTAATAAGAACCCCATCACCCCATAAATCTGCAACTCTGCGGGTGAAACTATTTCACAAAATCGGGTAGTAGGCCGCAGAATTCCTACACCAGACCACCGGAATTACGAGGGATGTCTTTTAAGTCTTGCATATAGAAACATAGTAAGCCGCGTGGATCGAACGTCAGTACTGAATCTTGAACTCACTCTTTAGTAAACTTAAATTTAAAGATTCACAACAATACGTGCAGTGTTCTCACTACAGTGAATTTTTAAGTGTCACCAAGTCATTAGAAAATTAACTCAACCGAGGACATTTTCGCGCAATAATTTATTAAGAGACAATTATCGCAACAAGAATGCCTTGTTGAGTTACTGTCTGTTTTCGGCAACGAAGCGCCACATCAATCGACAATTTCCCGTCGGTATGGAGAATTCAAACGTGGACGGGTGAGTCTTAGCGACGATCCCAGGGTGGGTGCACCAAAAACGGCAGTCACCCAGGAAAACGTCGATGCTGTGCGCAAACTCATCATTGAAGATAGACATGTGACATATATGGTATGACCCAAATTATAAGTGAACCGACTAGAATAACAGAGAGAACTTCTACATTATTAGATCCTATATTTATAAGTTCTTCTACTTCATATGTTTCTAGTGGTATAATGAATGCTGATAGCTTTAGTGACCATCAGATGGTATATTGTGATGTTAAATGTTCAATCAAATGTGAACCAAAATTTGTAACATACAGAGACTTTAACAACATTAACTTAGAGGCATTTGATAATGTCCCTTATCGGATAGACTGGGAAAGCATACTTTACTTCAGCGACATAGAAAGCAATGTTGAGTTTTTGACATCAAACTTATTGTCATTTTTTGACTTGCACTGTCCTGAACGAACAGTACGAGTCACAAAGCCAAAAGCGCCTTGTCGTACTGCAAACGTACAAATGTTATTCAGGGAAAGGGGTGAAGCTCTCTCCAAATATAAAATGGATCCATCAGAAGAAAACTGGAACAGCTATAAAAGCCTCAGAAATTACTGCTTGCTAGCATTACGCAAAGAAAAATCAGCCTATTTGGAACATCTACATAAAAATAAAAACTCTAAATCTCTTTACAAATCATTGAAATAAATGCACATACAAAGTAATAAAGAGCCTCCGAACATTCCGGTCCACCTTTCCAATCCATATAAAGTGAATGATTACTTTACCTCAATTTTTAAGAATAGTGATGAACAATGTATTGACAAAATAATTCATTATCGTAACAACAGACATAGTTTTGAGAGGTTTTCTTTCAATTTAATTGACTTGACAAGCTTAGCATCTATAATCAGTCATATTGGTTCCAATGCATCTGGTAATGACGGAGTTACGTTGCGAATGTTAAAATTATGTTATCCCGCTATAAATCTTTATTTTTTGCATATTGATAATATGCATGGATTGATAATCCATGCTTAGAGAGAGGCTATTTTCCAAGCGCGTCGAAAACAGCAATGGTAAAACCACTCGCTAAAACCTCGAATCCTTTGTCATTTGACGACCTACGACCGATAAGTCTTTACGAGTACTTAGACAAAAATAATATTATAAGTGTTCATCAATCGGGTTTTAAAAAAAATCATAGCACTACTACGGCTTTAGTGGACTTGATCGATGGCATAATTTCCGCGCTTGACAATAAAAACTTGTGTGCTCTTGTCCTTTTAGATTTCTAGAAGGCATTTGATACATTGAATCACAAACTGCTTGTAGCCAAATATCATTACTATGGCTTTGATGATCTTGCCTGTAAGCTCATCAAGTCATATTTAAGTGATCGGTCGCAAGTGGCTGTGGTTGATGGTCAGATGTCTTTGCCAAATAAAGTTCAGTCCGGAGTACCTCAAGGCTCCGTATTAGCTCCATTGCTTTTTTTGTTATACACCGCGGATCTTCAAGATACTGTCAAGCACTGTCATGTGCAATTCTTTGCCGATGACACTCAGGTAAAGTATGATTTTCCAGCCTCACGCTACTCTGAAGCCCAAGACCAAATCAATGAAGATTTGTCAAGTATTAGCCGCTATTGCAAGTTACATAACCTCAAGCTCAACCCATCGAAGTGTAAAGCCTGGCTATTTGGTAATATCAAAATAAGAGCAAATCTTAAAAGCAAAATTGACGTTCAAATCGAAGGAAAAATTATCCCTTATTCAGAATGTGCCAAAAATTTGGGCTTACATTTAGATGAAGACCTGAGGTTTGAAAAACACTTACAGCACGTTTTGAGGCAATGTTACGGTTCGCTCCGGCTTCTATTTGCAAACAATTGCATCACTGGTAAGTAATTGAAAAAACAGCTATATGAAAGCTTGGTATTGTCTAAGATTTCGTATGGGCTAATAATTTATTACCCCTAACTGCTGCGAATAAAAGACGTCTACAGATAATGCAAAATACTTGTAGTAGGTACATAAATAATTTGAGGAAATTTGATCATATATCGCATACGTATTCGGACCTCAATTGGTTAACTATAGATAATCTGTACAAATATTCTGTTATAAGTTCTGTGCATCGTATTTTACTATCCGCATCATCCCCATACCTGTTTGAAAAATTTATTACCAGATCCAGCACGCATAATATTAACACAAGGCATCAGGCTTTCTTTATACTGTCAGTCCACCGTACTGTTTTATATTCAAGGACCTTTATTTACAATGCCGTTAAATATTACAACAGTATTAATTTTCATTTTAAAAATATTGAGAATATTAAAACTTTTAAATTAAAATTGAAGTCCGATCTTCTCTCGCAAACATGAATTGCCGCTTATATTTTTTTTTATTGGTTAATGATGGTTGATTTTGAAAAAAATCCCTTTGATCACAGTTTTGTTGGTTTAAAACAAACCGATTTAAATGTATGTACCATAGTTAATGTGATCCATTTCTATGTAATTTCGTATAAATTATCAAAACGGGGTGAGGTGGAAGAATAGCTCACGCTAAACCTCGCAACTCGTAATGTACTAAATGTTTAATGCAATATAAAGACTCTTTATTATTATTATTATATCGCGAGATTGAGGTGTCCTTGAATATCTCAAACACCTCAATTCAAAAAAATTTTTTTCTCGTTGGATACCCCACCTGTTCACTGAAGAGCAGAAAGCAGCCAGGGTTAATTGGTGTCAAAAAACGCTTGACCGTTTCAATCCCGGAAACTCAAAAAATGTATACAGCATTGTTAGTAAGGATGAATCGTGGATTTACTGTTATGAACCAGAAAATAAACGACAGTCGGCTGTTTGGGTGTTCCAACGTGAAGAAAAGCCAATAAAAGCCATCCGTTCTCGTTTTGTGTCAAAACCGGGTCATATTGCAACAATTCCTCTTAACGAGCAAAGAACTGCTACTGCGGAATGGTATACCACCATTTGTTTGCCAAAAGTCATCACCGAGCTTCGAAAAATCAACCCCAAAAGAAGAATCATCCTCCATCAAGGCAATGCCCACAGCCCAAAAAATAAGGCAGTATTTAACGGAAGAAAACGTGGAATTATTGGACCATCCTCCATATAGTCCCAATCTAAGTCCTAACGATCTCTTTACTTTCCCGAAAATTAAAAACAGACTGCGTGGTCAAAGGTTCCAGTCACCAGAAGAAGCAGTTGACGCATTCAAACATGCCGTTTTGGATCTGCCTGCAAACGAGTGGAGTAAGTGCTTCGAAAATTGGTTCGAGCGCATGCAGATGTGTATTAATCTTCCTGGAGAATACTTCTAAAAACAATAAAGTCATTAAACTACCTACCGTATTGTTTTATTTCCATATGCAAAACTTAAAAGACATCCCTCGTAGCACCAAGTCACCTTCAGCTCTCGTATTTACGGTCGAGAGAAATTATAAAAAATTACCTCCAGCGAGATGGAGATTAGAGTACGATTTTCTACCACAAAATTAGTAGATCAGGAGAAGTGTTTTATTACTAAAGACAAAATTCTATATTTTTAAGAACTGATACAAAATTATTATTCTAAATAAGAAAAACGTTGTAATAATTTACTTTATCAAGATATAGTTAATTTTACCATAAAAAGAATCTGTAACAAGATGCCTGTTAAAAGCGAGTACTTTCCGCACCATGGTAAAAAAAAGTATTTTACACTTCTTGTTCCGGCGGTGTACTTTATAAGGCCTATATTTAAATAGGATGCATAATATTCTTTTAATAGAGCCGTTCCGGTTGATTCGCATCTCCAATTCAAGAAGTAAACAATCCCGTTCTATCTGCGAAATGTTCAAGACTCAATTAAACCTTTGACCAGATAAAGCTAGCTGAACAGCTGCAGCAGTAGTCTGCCCTTTAGTGAGACTGTAGAGGCAAAATTCAAACGCTTTCAGCAAACAGCGAATCCCTCAAAGAAAACCTTGTCGGTTTGCATTTAGTAGCGGCGGACATAAGAGAGAACGCTTTCAGGCTCCGAACAGGAATGCCAGTGGCGTATCTCGAAGGTAAACGGCTTTTGATAAAAGTCATTCGATTTATTGCGCACTACTTTAAGCAAACAAGCACAAGTGCGTATCTCAGGTTTGTTGCTGAACACATTTTCATCGCATTTACACTTGAACTACATTTTACTGTTTTCCTAATTAAGGACGATGTAGAATAGGTATATCCGTGAACTCAAGCTAAATGCCGGGACACCGTGGCTGCTATGAGGATCCCACGGGAAATTTTATCAATACGCGTTTTGAACTGCCTAAGGTTAGTAGAACTGGGAAAAACCCCTCTTGTAGATTGCTCATAATCTCGACTCCTTAGCGACAAAGGAGCGGTCGTATCGGGCAGTTCTAGATCTATGAAGCTCGACACGGTTAGGGTGCGAGGCCGATGTTGGGCAGGTTTGTCTGGCAAGCACATCACACGCAGCATAATGGAGGATATCTCTGAGGAGCAAAGCCCGTTGGTTTAGCTTTAGAAGAGAGGTAGCTATTTACTTCCTCTCTAACCATACCCAGCAAGTGCCCAAATAAGAATCGCAAATGCAAAATACGCACAATATTCTGAGAACGTAAAAGCTCTTAGTTTATAATTGTTTGAACAAGAAATATAAAGTTCAAGGTGAAACTAACCAGCACAGGATCTTTTAACACCAAATTAAGCCATCCATCTGGTCAAACAGCAGATCTGTTAAATTTTGTCACATATCAGAGTTAGGGAAAAAATAACTCCATATATTCTGAACTGTCTAGGGTCTAAGCACTATTTTTATATCGCTATGCCTCTTACTGCAGTGGAGTAAAAAAATGGAAGACGGAAGCACAATGGATAGTACGGTGGTCTTGTGTTTACAAAGATACACTGAGTTTACAGAAGTGTACGATGACTTATGCTACTCTCATCCATTTTGGTACTTGACTATAGCCATTACTCAGCAACTGAAATGAATTACATCAATTTCGAGCAACGGTGTGCTATCATGTTTAGCCTCAGACTTAGGGACAGTGCAACGGAAAATCTTGTTAAACTTCAGCAGGCCAGGTCTTTTCACAAGGGAGAGAGTCGATTTAAGATGGACCCCGAAGAGGAAGGCCTCCATCTTCAAGCACAGATGAAAATACCGACAGAATTCGGGATCCTGTGGGTGCAGATCGTCAGCTGACACTGAAAGCGATCAGGGAAGAGTAAAATTTACTCGCACCACCGTTCATAAGATCATAAACACGATAATGCTCCTAATAAACGAGTTTTCGGCCCGTAAAAACATTCATGTGTCTCATCAGCGTCCTTATTCGTATGACTTGAGTCCTTGTGACTTTTCTCTCTTCCCAAAGTTGAAAATCACCTCGAGAGAACTCATTTTGGGGACAGTCGAAGGCATGCAAATGGCTGTAACCGACCAGCTGAAGGGCCAGGTGAGAAGGAAATTATTTTCAGGGTGTAATTGTAATTATATTGGAATAAAAACATTAAAAACAATCAGTCTCATTACTCGATTTTCAGACCTCGTACGACGTCTGCATCTCGCAAAAAACAAGTGATTAATTTCCATCGATCTGTCTGTCGGTGTGTCGCTCTGTTTATCTGTCCGCTCATCCTTGGTCTGTGTATAAGTTAGAAATTACCGCTGAAATTGTAGTAAAATTTCCTCTCCAGGTTACTACTATGCTATTTTCAATTTCTCCAGCCAGTAAGTAGCGGGATACTCCAGATAGAACATATGGTACATACAGTTTGAAGTTCTGCAAGAAAAAAGAAGTGTGTATTGGTATTTTTTCCGTCAAGTGGAGCTAGCCGTTTTTTTGGAACAAAATTAAGCAGCTGGATAGTTTCATACAAAAAACTCCTTTATTACTGAACATTACATAACGAACTATTAATTCAAAACACTTCAACTTCCACGTCTTCGTGTTCACTGTCTTGTTGAACTGTTACCGGCCCAACAGCTCAAAATACTGTATCATAGCACCACTGGTCATTTTTGGTTACATATTTTTCAGCTAAAAACCAATCATTTCATGGCTTTTTTGATTTAATGAGCAAAGGGTAAGTCTGGTACAGTTTGTCTGATGGTAACGAATATGTGGCGGATGGAATCCCAAAACAGGGTTATACCGGTAAATACACTTCACTGTACAACGTAGGACTTTTCATATTTGAAAATACGATGCTTTGAAATGGCAAACTTCTCTTTTTTACTGTTTATAACTTCTATTTTAAAATTAATGAAATGCTGGGTGAAGTTGATGGTCATATCTTGGCTTGTTTGCACTACTGTGAATTTGTTTGAAGTATTTTTATCATTTATATTTATATTTTCATCAAGTCTTTCCAGCACTTGGGCGTATAGACTACTTCTTTCATACGATTTTCTTTTTCTATCAGACCAAAAGATCTGTCACAGGGTAAAAAGCTGCACCCTGGCTCGGGAAACTGGTAAACTATTACTTTTAATTTTCTTTCAGTAGTACTAGTAAACGTATGCAAAAACTATACGAGCAGCGGGTTTAGATTTTGAGCAAAGCAATTATCTGAAAGGAGGTACAGTTCGCGAATAGTGTATGGAAGAAGCGTGTTAAGGTAGTGATACAAAAAGCTGATAACCTCCTTACGTTTTAGCTGTGATTTAGTCTTATATATATAACACTGGACAACAAATTTTAGTTTTTTAATTGTATCTTGTGGGAAAAGTGCACTTCTTTGTTAATTTTGGGGAGCTGAATCCAAAAATGACAATGAAATAAAAAAATTAGTTGCGGTTTAGAAAAAAAGCTTTTTATTTTTAAGGATATATTAAAAAAAGTAACAAGACTCATATACTTATAAGAATCACTATATGCGCTGTCTTTTTGCTGTTCTTTTTTGGATCGTTTCTGGAGCATCTCTACCAAGAGTCCAACAGTAGTCTGCAAGCACGGAAGGATTCCACTCTCCCTGGTACCTTTTTTCCATTGTTGAAATATCCTGATGAAAACGTTCGCCGTGCTCATCACTTGCGGCTCCGCAATTGTCAGGAAAAAAGTCCAGGTGTGAGTGTAGGAAATGTATCTTAAGAGACATACTACAGCCCATCTTTTGATACGATGACAGCATAGTTTTGACAAGGGTTTTATAGTTGTCAGCTTTTCTATTTCCCAAGAAATTAGCGACCACCAGACGGAAATCATTCCAAGCAGTTTTTTCAATACCTGTTAAAGTGCTTTCAAACTGTGTATCTTTCAAAATATTTCGAATCTGTGGCCCAACAAAAATACCTTCTTTAACCTTTGCCTCACTTAGTCTTGGAAATTTCTGACGCAGGTATTGAAAAGCTGACCCATCTCTATCTAATGCCTTGACAAAGTTTTTCATTAGGCCCAACTTGATATGCACTGGTGGTAATAAAATTTTTTTCGAATCTACTAATGGCGTATGCTGTACATTTTTTTGACCTAGCTCTAGGAATTGACGAACAGGCCAGTTTTGTCTGGTGTAATGAAGTGCCCTTGCCCGACTGTCCCATTCACACAAAAAACAGCAAAACTTTGTGTAGCCTAGCTGCAGCCAAAGTAAAAGTGCAACAACTTTCAGATCGCCACAAATATGCCATTGGTGCTCATCGTATTTTATGCATGTCAATAGGGACTTCATATTGTCATATCATTCTTTCATGTGAACTGCATACCCTACAGGAAGAGATGGTAAAATATTTCCAATATGCAATAACACTGCCTTTAAACTCAATGTCTATGAACAATCTCCATTCTTCTGGGTTATAGTTTATATTTAAAGCCGCCAGTAAGCCGTTAATGTTACTGCAGAAAACCAAGTTATTCATATTGAAAAATGGTTCTAAGTCTTTGTGGCATTTACGAAAAACACATACCGAAACATCGTCTTCTAACAAGTTCCACTGCTGCAGTCTTGATCCAAGTAACTCTGCCTTACATTTTGGAAGTTCTAAATCTCTTACAAGATCATTTGTTATTTTGTGCGGTTGGTGGCATGACGTGCTCGGTATAAAATCAGGATCTCTTGACGTTGATGGCATATCTTCTTCCTGACGAATCACTCGATCGCCATGATCTGATTCGTTTTCTGATTCGCAAGTGTAGGATTCTGGGGGTTTTGGAATAGGATTTTCGTCACTGTGAGGCACAGGTCTCATCGCAGATGGTATGTTTGGGTAGTTAATAACCGATTTTTTTTTTCTTGGACATACCTGTGGCTTGTCCAACACAAGGTACCATGCAAAAGTAACAATCATTAATATGATTTGTAGGCTCTCTCCAAACCATTGGGA